ATTATATACTTATTAAGACAAATAGAAAAAGTTTCATGCAAGAAAATACTTTAAACTATTTTATTGTATTGCCGATTGCCATTTTTAAAAAAGTGACATGATCAAATTGGGTGGCCGATTCTCTGGCTTCAAAAATGCAACATGGCTCATAAATCAGATACTTTGACTTCAAGTTTGAACAACAGAAGAAATATAAACTTGTCTCGGTCCTTTCAGAGTGATAAATTAGCGCACCTATCCAGTCAGAATTAAACAGTTTCTTTAAATTGAGGTTGTTCAAACAGATCTTTACAACAAAAAGACAATAAAATACTCACAGGATCCCTTCTTTAAAAGATTTGAAAGATTGCTTTCATCAAACTCTTGGACATCATTCGTTTGCTCATTTTATTGTCGGTGTTGATAAAAAAAATGTCACCAGAACAGATTTGAATCAGATAAATTTGTCAGAGCCTGCAGCTGGACTTTACAATGTCACTGTGTGGACTAGCTCTCCCATTAAACAACCACTTTCGTAACTTCTTTAACTCACATGTTTTTAACTCAAAGTAAATGTTTACACACTTAAAGAATGTAAAGATTATTGGTCTCATGAGAACCCTTTATCACACATCATCCATAATGGCTAAAGAATGACAAGGATGAAATTACTGACAGGGAAAAAAGCATTTTTTAACCTCCATCATTCTCTGAAGCTTTGATGAGGCAGCTGTCTTTGGTGATTCTGTGTTTGGGGCACCTAACTAATGTGTTGGTCTTGCATGTCTCTGCTGTCTCATGCAGTCTGCTGGGCTCCATTTTCCCTATGCCTCGTGTAATCTATGCAATGGCAGAGGATGGGGTACTTTTCAAAGCCTTAGCCCGAATCAATCCTAAGACGAAGACCCCGGTTATTGCCACTATGAGCTCCGGTGTAGTTGCAGGTGAGAGCTGGGGAGAAGTGTGTGAAACTCAGCTAATGTTTTTTTCCCACCAATCAACTGTGAAAGAAAGCAATCTAAAGAGATGAATCAGCCATTTGCTTTTACTTTCAAATTGAAATGGCACTTACTAAACTAGATACCGCATGGTGGTAACATAATGACCCCCGCACGCACAACTGCACCAGAACTCAGAAGTCTTTATTCCTAATAAATGTCATTGTAGTGGTTTGGGTGGGGTCTTTTTTTTTGGGGGGGGGGGGGGGGGGGGGCATTGGCTAACCTGATGGATAGCCCCTCATCAGAGCTAAACAACCAAAGAAAATCTGAAGTTCCTATGTTTAATAGTTTTTGAGCAATAACCATTTTTGTATGTCCAGATACCCCTTTTTCAGATAAATTGGGGAGGGGGGGGGGTCACTGATTGGTGGGCCTGATGGATCGAGCTTCATCAGAGCTAAAGAACAAAATAAATCTGAAGCTTCTATGTTTTATAGTTTTTGAGCAATAACCATTTATGTATGCCCAGATACCCCTTTTTCAGATAAATTGGGGGGTCGGGTGGGGGACACTGATTAGTGGGCCTGATGGATAGAACTTAATCAGAGCTAAACAACAAAAGAAATCTGAAGCTCCTATGTTGAAGAGTTTCTGAGTTTTAAGCATTTTTGCATGTCCAGACACCCCCTATTTGAAAGGAGCCCCCTCCTCAAATATGGAGCCTATCATAAAACCGTTGGCTGGCGCAGTGTAGGTCTGACTCATCTACAGCCCTGCCAAATTTCATGTTGATTGGTGAAGCCGTTTTTGTGCTACTTTTGTACACAGATTATTGGTCAATGTGTTGACCAAAAATCACTGAAAAAAAAACATTACGAAAACAATATGACTCCCACTTATGCTTCATGTGCGGGGGTCATAATAATATTGTCCGTTTGGAGTTTTTGTTCATATCTTGTTCTTTCACGGTTGTGCAGGTGTCATGTTTTCTTTCCCAGAATGCCTTCAACTTAACCATGAACCCTCTTCTCCGTAGCCTATTGGGCTCCATGTTCCCTCTGCCGCGCATTCTCTTTGCCATGGCACGAGATGGTATTCTGTTCAAATTTATGTCCAATGTGAGTAAGCGCCAGTCACCAGTGGCTGCCACCATGGCAGCAGGTATCACTGCGGGTAAGCACCCGGACAAGGACTCGCCTGTCTTTGGGGTTGTATTGTGGACTTTGGTTTCTGTCTTTTTATTTAATCTCATTATTTCTTTTTTTTTTTTTTTTTACATGTGATTGGCTGGTGATGATGGTTGCATGATGGTGATGGTGTTTCCAAAAGCATGTGGAAAAAATACATTACACCATGGATGTTTAAAAGCAATCTCTTGCTTAAAAGTGTTGACCATACAAGTTCACTGATTCAGCTTACTTTTTTTGCAACAAGACAGCCAAACATTTTATAAAGCTTAACTTAACCAGGCATATGATATCCCATTAAGATCACAGATCTCTTTTGCAAGGGAAGCCTGGACCTGAAGGCTCCCTAAAATCATGTTTTTGTTCTGTGGGAAGAAACCGGAGTACCCAGAGAAAACTTAGGCAAACATGAGGAGAACATGCAAACTCCACACAGAAAGACCCCAAACGGGGGATTAAACCCAGGACTTTTTTGCTGTGACACCAAACTGCTAACCAATAAGCTGTTGTGCTTCTTCCCACCTACCCCACCCACAAAAAAATAAATAAAATTGTTGTTGCACCTCCCATTCGAAAAGTTACCATTATAAATAGCGTTTACTCTTCATGTTAACTCAAAAAACAATATGCACAGTTAATGTATTATATCATCATTACATTTGTTACAAAAAAATAAAAAACCCTTAAAATGTGCAACTTTTGCATCAGACCAGATATAAAACACTTTACTAGCTGACATTTAGGTCTGCTCTGGATTTTTTGCTGCAGCTTACGTATGTTTAAACACAGCTGTTTTAAAGAATATTTTCGTCATTTTCTGCTACTTTAAACCTTTAGTTTACTTACAAAATCATATTGGAACACATTAATGGTTACTCTAATGTAAGATGATAACATAATAACAGCATTACACATAATAACAGTAGCTGCACATCGCACTAACATGATGTCTAGACTTGACTTCATGTCAACCATAAAAATTTATAACCTCAACTGTTCTGTTTTGTGTCATTATTAGTCAATGTCAACATTTTTATTACTGGTATGAATCACTATAATATCATGAAACTAAGTTAGAACAAATCATTAGCACCATGGCCTAATATAACATTAGTGCTAATAAATTAATGCAGTTCACTAATTTTGGCAGGCCAGGGCAGATATTTTGAAATATACTTGCAACGTTATTAACTATTATCTTATGGCATCTTATATCTTAATGTGTTATCTTAACTTGAACCTTTTTAACAGACTCAGTATGGAGAAATAAATATTGATTCTGAACAACTTGAAACAGTAAGGATTAAAGAGCCTTTGTCTTAAAAAAAGCTCAATCTCAAGAGTTTCATAGGTTTTCATGATCAGTAGCTTACAAACATTTAAAAATCTTAATTTTCACATTAAACAGCTTTTGTGGCAGAAATATGATATTCTTTTCGAAAAGTGACAAGTGGTGTGCAGCACTAATCTAAATATTAGTTGCACTAAAGCACCAGGGCACTGACAAATTTAGCAAAAGCTAATTCTAAAGCACCAATATAATCCAGCTGACACATGGAACATTCTTCAGAGTCAATATGAGACAATATTTACTGTGTTGAATGTTGTCACTTAGTGCCCTTGGCAGGCCAAATGGTAGTCACCTTCAGGCCACATTTGGCCCGTGGGCCTCGAGTTTGACATGTAACCTTGTAGATAAGTGACACGCAAATGAACAAAATGTGTGACAGATTTCACCATCAACTGTGAACAATAATGTTGATCAACAACATTGAAAAACCTAAGTTAGTGCTTCTAAATTTAGCCCATAAATTTAGCAAGTGACAACCCACTAATGAATTTAAAAAATACCAAAAACTCTAAAGCACTAATCAAGAAATTAGTTCCCCTATTAGTGCTTTAGTGCTTTAGGGGAACTGTACCCACCAGTGAAAGTGACCATGCACTATTTTGCTATATTTACTTGAATTAGCAAAAATAGTAAAAAAAAAAAAGTATGGAAATGCCTGAAATGCAAAACTGACAGCAATGTAAAGGTCTATATCAATGGTGTCCAAAGTCAGTCCTCAAGGGCCAATGTCCTACGTTTTAGATGCTGCCCTGGTTCAACACAGCTGAACCTAAGGAGTACCTAATTAGTAGGCCTCTGCAGACCTTGATGACAAACTGAGGAGGCCTACTAATTAAGAACTCCTTAAGTTCAGCTGTGTTGAACCAGAGCAGCACCTGAAACATGCAGGACACCGGCCCTGGAGGACTGATTTTGGACACCACTGCTCTACATGAAGTGCTATAATAAAACAAGTTGTTTTATGATGACAGGAGCCTCGGCCCAGCAGAGAACATGTTTCCTCAACATTTGCTGGAATTTATGACAGTGTTCTGATGATCTGTGCTACCTTGTGGCAATGCGCATGCCCAGACCGATGTCACGTCACAGGTTGCTTACTCAGCAGATTTATCGATATTTGTAGGAGTTTAATTTTGTCTGTTTTATTTAATTAAGATTTATTTAATTAAGCTGCTACACACATTAACATACAGTAAATGGCTTATTGTTTCCATACTGTAAACAAGAAATTAGTTTTATTGTTTAGTGTCACTATATCAGTACAAATACTGTTAATAACTACAAATAAGCATGTTGCAAGTGATGATCAGTGGGCGAAAACAGTATAACTGCTTGTCATTAAGCTGCTAAATTACTTACTGTATTAAGTTTGATAGATGGCTTGTGAACATATTTTTCATTGGCTTTAGTTTGATGTCTGTAATGTTGTTATTATACTGTAAACAACAAATGACTCTATTTATGCTAAGCATAACTCCTAAACTTCCACTTCAGTAACACCATCACTTAAAGAATGTTATCCGATTATGATATTTTTGTAAACATTACGGTAGCAGTTTTTGAAAGGGTGCACCGACAAATAGACCTAGCTATTGAGCCTGGCTACAGTAGGAAAATCTGATGAGGTAGTGCAGATTATCAGAACACTGCAGTCTCATCAGGACAACTTTGCAAATCAGCGCTTCTCCTCGATAAGCAACAGAAATACCAGATCCTCCTCCTCCAATTCATTCATCATCAACTAAAAATAAACATCCACCTTACGACCCATGCTCTTGCTGCGTTGTTTCTGTTTGCACATCTGCTGCAGGAGCTCTCACTACCATTTCTCTTTAAAACAAAAAATGTCCCAGAGATAAATAACGTCTCACAGCCACGAGAGAGAACAGATGTCCTACATTTTGTCATGTAGCAGCCTTTACTTTGTGTTCGGTCACTGACATCACTGCTCATAAAGTACTGTTAACTATTTGACAGAATGTCACCTCAAAAATCTTTCTCCAAAGTTCTTTTAATAACATTTTGTTTGACATAAATTTATTTCAGTTTTATTTTTATGTGACGAGGGCCAAACTGACTATAGGACAAAGGGTCACTTCTAGTGTTTATTTTGTTCTTAGGCTTTTATGCTCAACAGGAAACCATGTACTCAGACATTTGGCCCAAGACTCACAGGGTGAATGACTTGATGAAGACGTTAGTAGATGTGAATGTTTACTGAACCGAGAAGTTTTTTCTATTGTTTTTTGTTCAAATCAAAATGTTGGGCATCTCTGTGTCTGTGTTGCTGAGATCAGCCCTGTGCTGCAGCCTGATGCTGAGTTTTAAGACAGGAAACTGAGCAACACAACCGCAGTGTGTCTCATATCATATGATTCTGGAATGAAGATGGTTACGGCTCTCATGTTAAAATTGAAAAACCTTTCACTCTTCTGCTTTACATCATGAAAACATGTTGCATGAGACTTAATTTGCATCTTATTGCCTTTTATTTATTTGTACTGTGCAGCTGAAGTAAACAACCTTTTCCATTTTTTGCTTGCAAAAACACCAGCGCTAATGTAATTAAAAATAGTAAGTGGGTGTGAACAAACATGTTTTCCAACTGCTACTTTTAACAGCAATATCCTTCCTGTTAGGAACGTTCTCTGAAAGTATGAGTGTTAATTTTCACCTTTTTTTTCTGCAGCTATCATGGCTTTCTTGTTTGACCTCAAAGCTCTTGTAGATATGATGTCTATTGGAACCCTGCTGGCCTACACGCTGGTTGCTGTATGTGTACTCATTCTCAGGTGGGTACTTTCACAAATATTTCCATGAAAATAACTTGGGAGAAATTTCATTTGTGCGACATTGTGAAAGAACCTTCCTAATAGTTTTATTTGGATGCCCTCAGGCAGGAACAACTCTGTGTTGTTGCATCACCTCAGTGATGTAAGATCTGTGAATGCTCCCATTGTATGAGTGCTAAGTGGCTTCTTAAATAAATGAAGGTGTTTACTTTTAGTTACTGAACGTGCTGAACTCAGGAGCTGCAAACACAGTGCATATCTGTTGCCACGCTGTGCTCCTTCTCTGGTTTAAACCTGTTTAAGACCTCACTTGTTTTGGAAGGCAAAACCAGATGATGTGAGCTGTTTCACAACCTGATGAGGAGGAGAGCTTTATTCATAGATGTGAGGTTATACCTGGGGTTTGGGGGCTTTAACCACTGAGCTAGAAATACACAGAATTGGTCAACCGAGTGCAGTCTATGCTAGTGAGGAAAGAATTAGTGCTGCCATCTTGGTAGGTGCTATCTGATGTCCTTAGCGTGGCAACAAATCCTGAATATCTGAGTAGCATAAACTAAACTCAGCCAAAAAGCCAATGTTTTGTCAAAAATGATTAGAATGATGTTCAGGTTTCAATAATTCTAATCATTTTTGAAAAACATACATATACATATACATATACACATACATATACATACACACACACACACACACACAC